CAGGAGATCCATGGTTCGAACCCAACCTCTACCTCTCGACTTCTGTCTAGGTTTGGGCAAATTGGCAGTATCCCAGCCCTCGTGCTTCCTTTTGGTGGCATGGCAGTTGGGCACCGAAAGGGTGCTACAGCAGAATAATTTTTTTCTAACACGTGTCGATCAAGTCTTGTCTTACGCTTTTTCATTCCCGTTTCCGAAAATTAATCAACTATTATTTAGGGGTATGATGAAAACAGGTTGTGGATTCGAACAGATACGGCGACTTGCTCCTTAAAAGAACTTGTACTAGTGCACTGGTATACCGAAATCCACCTGCCTTGTGGTTAATCCTTTGAACATGAGACAGGTTGAAAACCGTAGTCGCCCTCCTGTCTAGGTCTAGACGATCTCACAGGGTCCTAGCCCGACCAAAACCATTAACATCCCAGCTAAGAATAATATCACATCACATCAGCTACCGAGCCACCTTAACCGTGGTGTAAAGCACGGTGGATAAGCAAAAACAGGGTACTGCTGTTTCCCCTTCTTACACTTTCAGGTATTATCTTTTCTGCCCTATCCCACCCCAATTCGAATACGCTATCTGTCGAACGATCTAGTAAACAAGTTCGGCTATCTGGGCAGCTGTCCAAGTCCTACTGGGCTGGTGAGATCACTTGTCGGATTAAGAGGACAATGGTAGCGTTTGCCAACCTCCGAAATCTGTGGCGTCGACGTGATATCTGGGTAGATCCTACGATTTCTCGGTCCCATCTGTCGCCCTTTATGTGTGAGAGGCATAGACATTGCCTTTGGAAAATCTGTGTTTGACCATCTTTGCCTCCGAAGCACTTCGTGGGTCTGGTGAGAACATCAGATAAGGAAAACTGGGGTGTGCCAGATGGTCTTCTGGAAAGTTTACTTTTCCTCGATAGATTAGCTGATCACACTTTACACAATATTCTCATGCCACGTCGGCCGTCGCGTGGTAGGTTGTGCCGTTCAGGTCATTTGCTTCGTGCAAAAAACTGTTTGCATCGTAGGATACTCCTCGCTCAGCCTTATGTCGGGTTGAGATTACCCAGCCCATAACCCTTACTGGTAAACTCAATTGAGTTAATAAATCCCATCTCCCTGGATGGGGAGATAAACCAATGGCTAACGGTTCTGACAGATAGGGCACTTGCGTTCTTGCACCAAACCTGTCGCATTCACTGCGTAGCTCTCAATCCCTGCCATACCGGACAAATAGAACCATCCGCCGTCAATGAGCTGATTGGGCCATTACCTCCAACATGTGGCACTCATTCACTTTTTTTTTATCCCAGGCGGATGAAGCCGTGAGAGCTAGAACCACGGCATTCCGATGCATGGTTTGTGAGCAGACAAACTGAGTTGAACTGATTACTTAGTGTTCACTAGACTGAACGAGTACCGGACAAAAAGGTCCTCCCGTGGGCGGCCTGTAATGGAATGGAGGCCGCGATCACACATCCATCAACGGTGGTCTGGATATGTTTCTCGAATGGGCGAGAGCAGTATTTTGAAACAGCTTCTTCGTGGGCGGCCTGTAATGGAATGGAGGCCGCGATCACACATCCATCAACGGTGGTCTGGATATGTTTCTCGAATGGGCGAGAGCAGTATTTTGAAACAGCTTCTTTATGAATAAGATTAGACTGAATGTTGTCATGCAAAAGCTTCGATATATGGACTTTGGTTGAAGGTCTGAAGGCTGCCGATGTCGATTTCGTGAAGTAGGGAGCGAAGGTACGAAACAGCGTTATGAAGCGAAACGATATCAATTGGAATTGTCACTTCAACTATCAATGGCTTCTCTCCAAAGAACTGAGCGTGCATGGCACAAGAATGTCATCGGTCATGTTAAATCTGAGAGCCGAACAACCCGGACCTGCGTGGACTCGGTCGTGTATGTTTACTGCATTGCGTTGATCGGCCACCGGCAGACAGTGATCTGTCGACAAGATGCCGGTGGACGAGTTCACCAGGTCCGCCTTAGGTGACATTATCATATAGGTAGGTCTATCACGTTTCTAGAAGCGACTTACGTGGCAATCGCCGCACAAACCAAAGCGACCAAAATATCTCAGGATACCCCGACCTAAAACTGCCACCTTGACACGATGGTCGGGCTTGAGTGCTGCAATGATCCCGCGGGCCACACTAGCTGGAACTTCGTTCCACAAAGTGCAACCATGCCAGGAGGGCTAAAGGGGAGCAGCCAGACCAAGAGCAGCGAGAACCTGTACTACGAGTAATCGTGCTACGAGGTGGTCTAGGGGTTGTTGCGAGAGTCGAGTAGTTCCAGGACGGGATTAGAAAGGGGACAGAATAGGAAGACGTAATGTACGCTTTAATCGTCTAATAACTGTAGTACATGAGCTGAAAATAGAGTGAGAATCACGAGTTAATGGGTTATGCAAAGGTATGGGTTATATAGTCATGACATTCTCCCCGCCTTGGAATAAGTGTGTACTTTGCGGAGAAAGAATGTAAAAAATAAAAAGGCTGTAATAGTTACATGGAGTTCTTTACGCCTCTCTGTTGCGTAGATCATATGGGTGAGTGCGCTGTTGTCGGATAAGAATGTCCAAGTGATTTCCTGGATCTGCACTAGAATGGGATGGCGAGGCATCGTTAATAGGCAAGAGTTCAGTTTCTGAGCAACCACGGTGGATTGTTGGTGTTGTGTGAGGCTCCCCTTGTTCGGCGATATGTAATGGTTCCTGTTCTGTGTCTGATGTCATGTCGTTGCCTTTGGGAGCCAAGCGGCGCAAGGATACGGTTTCGTGTTTGCCATCTGGACGAACTATGTGGGCGTACTGTGGATTACAAGAGACGAGTTCCACTTCCTCTACCAGAGGGTCATATTTAGAGACTCGATCATTGCGTTTTAAAAGGATTGGCCCAGGGACAGTAAGCCAGGTAGGTAGGGAGGCACCGTTGGCTGATCGTCGTGTGAACGGCATAAAACGTTCGTGTGGGGTACAGTTGATACTAGTACATAACAGGGATATGATACAGTGGATAGCATCAAGGAGGACAGCCTCCCACTGTGTGACAGGCAAGCCGCGCGATTTTAGAGCCAGGCAGATGGTCTTCCAAAGGGTACCATTAAGTCGTTCAACCTGACCATTACATTGTGGATTATGTGCAGCGGTGTGACTACTGGCAACGCCTTTATCGAACAAAAATTGTTTGAGTTCAGTTGATATGAATGCAGAACCGCGATCTGAGTGAATATAAGCAGGCATACCAAACAGTGAAAACAGTTGACTCAAACAACGAATTACAGTGGAAGAGGACGTATCGGCGCAGGGATAAGCAAAAGGGAATCGAGAATACTCGTCAACGATTGTTAAGAGGTACTTATTACGAGTGTTTGAGGGAAGTGGGCCTTTAAAGTCGATACTAAGGCGTTCGAACGGTTGTGTGGCTTTGATAAGCTGGCCACGAAAGGTGTCACAAAATTTTGGTTTGAGCTCGGAGCATGTGGAACAGTTGGACACCACACGTCGGATATCGCTGACTGAAAAAGGAAGGTTCTTAGAACGAACAAAATGTGCAAATCTCGTGACCCCGGGATGGCATAATATGTTGTGAAGCTCTTCAAGTTTTTCCGTCCCAGCAATGTTGGCACAAAGGTTACGAGATAGGGTATCAGCAACGCGGTTATCTGCTCCAGGTCTATAGACGACGTCGTAGTTGTACCTTGCCAACTCGATTTTCCACCGTTCAATCTTGTCGTTCTTTATTTTAAATTTTTTTTTAAAATTGTTGCGAGAGTCGAGTAGTTCCAGGACGGGATTAGAAAGGAGACAGAATAGGAAGACATAATGTGCGCTTTAATCGTCTAATAACTGTAGTACATGAGCTGAAAATAGAGTGAGAATCACGAGTTAATAGGTTATGCAAAGGTATGGGTTATATAGTCATGATAGAGGTAAGGTCGTGCTGTCCTCTGTGACAGGAGTGTGAAGGCAGTAAGGTGTTTCCCCCGGGCGACCAGCATGTCTATATTTATGGAAGCAACGATGCTGCCTTCCCCCGAGGAAGGACGGGTTAGAAAAGGTCGGCCCCAAAAACCGCACACTCAGATCACCGAACGGTTGACCGTAACCGCGGGCACATTATTCATTACGATCGAAACACTTTTAGAACGAAAAAGCCCGGTGCTGCTCAAAAGGCACTTGCTATGCGCAGCCGCATCAGGAATGAGACAGTAATGCTTTATTCCCTGCGCCCTCGGGTTAGGCCAACCCCCTGCGGCCGAGCAGGTCAGACTGTTGAGTCGTCGGCTCCGGGCAGGGTCCCCAATGAAAACACTACGTCCTCTGCCACACTACGTCCACTGCCTTGTGGGTCAGGCTTTTGAGTCAAAGGCTCAAGGTCGGGCACCTCAACCAAACCCCCTTCCTCGGCCTGGGCAACCGGGAAGTATCATTTGCCCGCGCAGTTCAGCGTCCACCGATGTCCCTCCCTAACCTTTTTCCACAATGTCGCTGGACCATGTGACTGTCAGTCATCTGACCGAAGGGCCTCATGCTCCTCGCTGCCTACAAACATTAAGCAAAATAACACTTTTCTAAATCCACGAGGTCCTTTCTATGTAGGAGCTTTTAACGTCCGTCCTGTATGTCAAATTGGCAAACAGGCAATGATTGCTGAAATCTTGTACTCCCTTAAAATCGATGTATGCTGTGTCTCCGAAACACGCATACAAGACCCGAGCGTGGTTATGCATCTCAGAACACCAAGGATGAACCCAGCTCTTTCACACTTCTCCCTCCGTGTGTCTGGTGACCCAGAAGCGATGACTCGTGGAATATATGGCGTGGGAGTTGCACTCAGCCCCAGAGCTGAACGCGCTTTGCTGGATTGGATCCCAGTGAACAGTCGTCTCTGCGCCGTCCGGCTACCCAGTTCAATCAAGCTCAATGCCTCTCGGCATAAAAGCGGTGCCTGTTTGTCGTGTCGGCTTATGCCCCAACGGACTGCAGTTCTGATGCGGAGAAGGATACTTTCAATCGAGAGCTATCTGGGCTCATTCGTCAGGCAAGAAGCACTGACATTGTGATCCTTGCAGGCGATTTTAATGCTCAAGTAGGTCGTCTGACCTCCTTGGAATCATATTTAGGTGGTGGATTCGGAGTCGATGCTCGCCGCACAGACAACGGAGATAGACTCCTTCGGTTGTGTGCTGATCACGAACTGTTTCTGGCAAGTACGAACTTTCAACATAAACGTTCGCACCGCGTAACCCTGCGGCCACCAACTACAAATCGACCGTGGACGCAGCTGGACCACGTGGCCGTCAGCCACCGGTCGAGAGCCACAATTCAAGACTGCCGTTCCTTCTGGGGCACACCAGTTGATTTCGATCATGCCATGATGCGCGCACGTTTGACAGTTGGTTTCCCTTCAGGCCCTCGCAAGTCGGCAAGAAGCATGCCAATCCACCAGCTTCGAAGAACTGCCATAGCTCAACAGTATCGATCTGAGCTAGCCCAACAACTCCTCACAGTAAAACAATACTGTGGTGGCAGTGAGCATGTGGATGAAGCGTGGCAAAATGTGAAAGAAGTATACTAGCGGCGTTCAGTGCTGCCTGTCCGACTTCTCCAATTCGACCACAAGACCACTGGATGTCGTCGAGGTCGCTATCCATGATTGATGATGCCGGGAAAGCCATACCAACAGGCAACGAGTACGACGGCGCACGCCAATCCCTCAAACGCCAAATAGTGGAGTCTAAGGAAAGACCGAGAGCTCTGGTGGATATCGAAAGCTCGGGAGATGGAGAAGGGTTTTGCTATGGGAAACAGCCGTGTCCTTTATCAACTGGTGCGATCGACTGGCCCTAGGAAAGCAACGGTTAGCGAAACGATAAGTGAAAAAGATGGCTCATTAATTCACTTGCAATAACGTCGACTAGAGAGATGGGCCGAATACTTCGAAAAGCAGTTCAGCTGGCCTCCTGCAACACAGCCGGTGGAGATAATGCATACGGGCGAATGGAATGTAAACTTTGATCGCCCTTCGGAAGAAGAAATAAGGTACGAAATAGCCGTACTGAAACGTGAGAAGGCACAAGGACCGGACGGTCTGTATCCAGCCCTGACCCTCATTAAGGCGCTGTACGCCAACTCCCGCAGCCGTGTAAAGGTCTATGGGAGGCTCTCTCCTGAGTTCATCACATCAAGTGGTGTCCGACATGACTGTCCTGTTTCCTCTTTCCTCTTCAACTTCGTTATTGATACAATCATGGAAGACCCGCCACAAGCCTCTAATGTGTGTGGGGTCGAAGTGCTCCTTGGGCTTCCGCTCACAGACATCAAGTACTCAGACGACATAGCTCTTCTTGGATCTGACCCCGTGGTAATGCAAACAATAATCCTGCCTCACTGTTCGGCATGTGCTTCACACCTGCAAAGTGTAAAGTGCTACTGCAAGACTAGGTGGGCTAGAACCCTAACCTCATGTTTGCGGATGAACCGATTGAGGTAGTAGACAGATTTGTTTACCCGGGCAGCTGGATCAGTCCCGGTGGTCTCGCGGAAGATGATATTTTTATCCGGATCGGGAAAGCCAGAGCAGCTTTTGTGAACCTGCGTCACCTGTGGCGTAGGCGTGACATCAGCTTCTCTGTCATAGGTCGAGTTTACAATACTGCAGTGCGCTCCATAGTAATATACGGATCAGAAACCTGGCTGTTGCGCGCTGAGGACGTCAAAAGACTTTCAGTGTTTGACCATCGATGTCTTCGGAGCATTGCCCGAATCTGGTGGGAACACCAGAACAGCAATGCTGAAGTACATCGAATGGTATTCGGGAGAAATAATTCACCCTCGATAGATGAACTGATCGCAATGCATAGGTTACGCTGGCTTGGCCACGTGTTGCGTATGCCAGTCGACCGACTTCCTCGAAGGGCTCTTTTCGCACAACCACGTGAAGGGTAGAAGAGAGCCAGAGGCGGCCAACTTCAATGTATAGCTCCTTTTCCAACCCCAACCCTCCCACACCACTTGACAGCCCATTGACAGTGCTGGATTTATACCGATTTATCTCCCATCTGCAATGCACAGCTACCTACCCTCCCCCCACAAATCATCGATGAACGAAACTGCGGCAGCTACAACCACTGTACGACGATTACGCGGTTATTACAGCTGACAATGATGATAATGATGATGATCTCAGGACACTGAGCATTTCGGTGTGTTCAGCCCGTAATGGTTGTAAAGGTGACTTTCAGTTGTCGTTGTCCTTTGGATGGGATCGAGTCGTATCTTAAGTAACCACAGATTTCATGCACCCTCTGGGTTCGGCTTACTAGTAGTGTGGACTCAGCCCATCCGAAGCGGATACCATTAAGTTTAGCTTCTAAGTTGTCCCCATCTGCGTCTGCAAAGAACCGCCCTAGTATCCTGGATTTTCCTGAGTCCTAAACCTACAAGTATGCCGACAGTGACTTTATGGAACCATCATTCTGTACACAAGCTGAATAGGGATTAGCAGCAGGTAGCCATATGTGAACAGGGTGCTCCTCACTAGGCGATCTTTTGCGTACTCTGAGTACCATATACGTAGTTGTCTCCACCACCCTAACCGAAGGCGGCCGTAATGCTTTTCTATCGATAGACCTGTGGTTTGGGTTGCCAAGCTGTGCGTAGTTTTCATTGCTATATCATATCTACATTGTATACACTGTTTTATATCGTACATCGTCTGTGGTTGTGATTTAGTGTCTTAATGTATTTTGTTTATGTGTATTCCGTGTACCCATCTGCAATTGACTAACATTGGATATTCAGGATTGTTAAACCAGCAATGGTGCTAGGATCAACTGTGAGCAATTTGCCCAGCTCAGCAAACAAGCCAACGACCATCTTCGCTACCTGAGCTACTAACATGTCCCTCTATAGAAGATACTTCAGGTATTTGGATGACTCTAACGTGGCATAGTAGGGACTATTTGTATAAGTTGATTCATGATTGAATAGTCTTTTCTAAGGGGGACCGGAAGGTGCTCTTCTGTCGTGTGTTGGCTAAGCTCTAGCGTGGAATCACCATACTTGGCGATATTTCGCGAATCGCTTTCTGTTACAGGTGAAGTTTCATTATATTCATACACCTTATACGAGTTTTTTGAACTGCGAACGCAAAGATGTAGTTGTATTTTACGTGTGTCCACCGCATGCTGCCGGGAACAATGCTCAAAATGCATGGCCTCATATATGGAAGCCAAATCGTGATCCCATTCAATATCTTGGGTGTGGATTACATTTCTCGCCTATCAATAGCCAGTCGGTAAAGTCACAGGCTCCCTATTTCTTATCCAACCCAAGTTTGCCAAGTAACATGACATGTATTTGATGTTGCCTTTGTGGCGAGCTATATGGAACTCAGTTGCATGCATGTGATGTGAGATAGCGTCCGCTGCTTCGCAGCCGGTAGAGGACTTGTCTGGCAAACAAGAGGTTGAGGATTCGTGATCCATTCAAGAGAGTTTGTTTAACCTGTTCACATTAGTTTTACTCGGGTTTCTATTCGAGATTTATTAAACTTTCAATTTCCTATCGTTTCAGGCGCGTTTACCGATGGTTCCTCTTGATTCACAATATATCGTATGCCCTTGGAATCGGTGGCTACGTGCTGATGATGCTCACGATTTTCCAACTAAATCTTGTTTTTCTCCTTCCAACTGGTATGGCCATGGATATATCACTGCTAGCCTTGTTCTATGGCATTTACTACGGGGTCATATCGCGTGATTTCGCCGAAGTTTGTACTGACAAGTTGGCTGCACAGATCGGCGTAAGTCTTCAAAATTCCGAGGTCCACTTTGATCTCATCTCGGTGATTTTATCCTACCAGTTTTCCCGTTAGTATTTAACACGCATTCCAGCTCTCCACCTGAAGGAAAGTGTTTTTCGACCCAGCGCTGAACCTAACAACACACGTAGCTGTTTTGTGACTTAAAGGGTGGAGACTGCCAACCAATGGGACGGAAGGTCTATGAACAGAAAACTCGAAATCTGATGCGCATTACGTTGAATGTACTTGAAGAAATCTCATCTGCTTCATTTTGATCCTTAGTTGCAGCATTTGAGACTGATACCTTGTTACCGCTTGCAGCAAGTATGGAGGGTGCTATAGTTCACTGTGTTGCAACGGAAGCGCTTTTGTCCCGCCCTCCACTGGTTGGTAATCTCAAGTTGGTTAACACAGCATTGTGTTTATCCTCTTGAAATTGTTTGAAGAAATGCATCCATTCGTCTTCAGACGGAATGCAATATGTGGTCACACTATCAAAAAGACCCACTTCACTTGTCACTTTATCTGCCATAATTTAACTGGTGCTTGGACTCTGTCGTTTTGAATTCGCTGCTCTTTGTTATTGAGTACATCTGACTTCGGAAGCGGACACTTAGTTTAATAAGGGGGAGGTATAACAACAGTATTTGGATAACTGCGCTCTGGGTTTTCGGGAACCGTGATACTTTTTTCACTTGTGTGAATCCATCTGGTTTCCAGCTGGGCAGCTGCACAGGTCCCAGTGAATTGGCGAAGTTACTCATTGCAAGGATGGGGCGCCGTTTACCAACCTAGAATATTTACTGAGGCTACTATTGTTAAACACATCTCAGTTGGTTTTCAGTAAAAACAGGTGGACAGAAGACTGTCGGCCTCACACACCCCTATTTATTCAGCGGTGCCGAGCATAAAGGATCCAGGTCCAATCAATCTATGACTTAGTGTGAGGTATGAAGCCTCTAATCAGACTTCTCCATCGCTTTAGCAACCACCGCCCTCCGCGAATGGATACCACTGGACAAGGTACACCAGTGGTTAGTAGCCCTGAGAGATATGGTGCAATCACTCAGTGTTCATGCATCAAAGTGAGCCTTCATGGCGTAGCCCTCTGTTGTGATTTGCTGAACGTCGTGCAACTTCATGGCGTAGCCCTCTGTTGTGATTTGCTGAACGGTCGTGCAACTCTGTGTCGGACCTTGGCTTCCTGTTCCGCCCACTATGGTGTATCAAAAGGTACGGTAGCTTCAGATAACCCTTTTTGGAGACAAAGGAAGATTATTACAACTGTACTCATGGGGCAATCACAGAATGCTCTACAACGTCGTGCTAGAATCTCCGTGAGATGACGGGAAGCGTCGAGTTAAAAATGCTCGATACAGATTGACTGGTATTCTGACCAATCACGACATGCCGTCGTTTGGTTCGTAGCCCGCACGTGGCATACCCGTCCAAATGACGTGCTGTTCGGTTATTAGGGGTAGCTGGCCTCCAGACACCTCCCACTTCACCCTTTATCAGGTAGGTCTAGTAGTTTGACGTCAACAAACTTATCAGGTCATCGTACCCACTTCATTGTTTTCATTCCCTGTGCAATCTTCGGAGGCAGCCGGAACCACTGCAGTTTTCCACTCGGTTTGTAGTTGAATAACTGACTGGCTGGGTACCATATGTCTTTGTTGTGAAGGCCAAAAGACCATCTGGGCTAGTAACCCCTTCTCGAGATTTCCACCCCTCTCCTCAGCTCAGTCAAGCGGCGCACCTAGTCTATAGCTCGCTGATTAGATTGATGTACACTTGTGAATATGATTTCACAGGGCGATGATAGGGTCGGCGCACACTTACGTGTGTTGATGACCCTCCTCTTGACTGGCTCCGAGTATAGTCTCGTTTCTTCATGTCCCTCTTGTGTTTTTTGCACATCCGGATATTTTCTTCACTGCACCTAATTCCTAAACGAGGATGCATGCGAGGTCATCCACATATACTTGAATGTTGTGCTTCCGTAGTACCCTGCGTCGCTTCATTTACTTCTTTAGGGAGTGCCGATTGCTTAAATGTATTCTCAGTTTCAATCGGTCAATAAACTCACTTCGCAAGTGAAGACCTGGATGCCACTAAATTGCACGACTTTACTTTCTATATAAAGTTAAACTAACTCATGTCGTCATGCATCTCGGTAGCTTTTCCCCTCTATCCAATTGTTCCTACTCGGTCTGTATGTGATGAACCCATTGGTAATTTGTACCGAATAATTGTGACCAGTGTCAAAAATCATGTCCCTTACTTCCTTGTTTTGTGCACTTGGTCACCCAGCCCAAAGTACAGGCTTATTTGTTCTCATCGATTTTCTTTGTGATTTTCCTGTCTATTTTCGTTCCACCTCAGTATCACGTACCCCAAGGTATGCCGGTTAGAAGATTGGATCCGACAGTCTGCTCCATATGTACATACCCGCTCGAAAGCTCCGACAACGAGAAAATACACCGTTTGAATTGCACCCATGCGTATCCTTTTCCTGATGGTTTACTTCGACCGAACATGTACCGATTTGTCCCCCTTCCGTGTATTTTTAAAAGCTTACTTTCAAAGTTGGGTGCTTCCACACCCTGTTTTTTGGGGACAACTCACATAGCCTTAATTCAAAAACTCCAACCATTCCAGCTCGTCGAACAAGGAAAAAGTAAACCTGTCGCCGAATCCGAGCACTAACAAAAGTCGCACAAACAAAAAAACGAAAAATCATTGCGGCGAAATTAACTGTTTGTTCTGAGCTTTGGTCTTCTGTTTGACTCAAAGCAACTAGAAACATGACGAGAAATGCTCAAAATTATCACCCATAACCTTAATCTGACAGCGGTTACAGCGTTATATATCTTACTAGTTACGTCACTATTCTGGAAAATATATTTTGTTTGTGATCTGATTACTTCAATCGGTGTCAACCCATTGCTCGGGTCCTCTCAACAGAATATGCAGTTTTACTTGCTAGCCACTTTGGATACGATTAATCATTTCAACAACCAAGACTTGCATTCTAGGAGCCGTGCAGCATTGAGACCTTCGTGTTTTGCCCCTGGCGACCGCTGCACTAAACATGTTCAGCCATTATCCCTGTTATTTTCTTCAGGCAATTCCCAAGGAATGCAAATCACTAAAAACTGGGTCAGACAAAAGTACACTCAGCACAATCCAGCTCTCAGACGCCCACAGCTTCTAAACAACGGAAGTAGGTCTTGAGTGGTTAAATGTGTCAACGCTTGCCTCAGCTATTACCTTCAGAACTGACAGCGCAAAGCTTTAGTTTATCAAGACCTTGGTGTTGGCTTACGGGGAACAATGAATAGGTCCCGGAGGTCCAGGGAATACGTGTGCTATGATCCAAGAGAAAACGAAGAACTTGAACTGCGGAATGACAAAGGTCGTTTGATCAGTTTGGTCAATAAGTGGTCTAACGTATACCAAAGGTGTAACTGAGTTCCTTTTCTCTACGGGGAGTGTGTAAACAAAGACAATAGTCACATCAGGGTCGTTTGATCAGTTTGGTCAATAAGTGGTCCAACGTATACCAAAGGTGTGACTGAGTTCCCTTTCTCTACGGGGAATGTGTAAACAAAGACAATAGTCACATCAGAACAGGTTGTCGCGCGGAAACGCGAGCGTTGTCGTGCCAAGGTCAGCCTCTCTAATCAGTAAGAAAAATCGTTGGTCGTTTCGTATCCGATCGATTTCTTTTTTTCGATCTGAAGTCCAGAGCTTATTCTTCGACTGCGTGTTTACAAGGTAGTTGGTTCGTAGATTTTTTTACTTTTCAAGGTTCTGGGTTGAGAAACAGCGTTAGTTACGCTTGAAGGAGCGGAATGCTTAAATACTGTCAGCGGGGAAAAGTTTAACTGGTCTTTTTATAAAATTATCGTGTTAATTGAGCCAACCGAGATTGCCATATTCTAATGGTGACTGATCACTATGCCCATAAGTAGTCCGTAATGAATCGGTATACAATTAACTATGGCTCTGATTAGCGAAAAGTGCAGAATTTTCGATTGAAAAATTGGATGTCCTCGTCAGAAAACGCCACGAGTGAAAATCGATCGGTAGCTCTATAAACTGTACTAGTCAGATCCATGAGTATCCCCGGAGGGTCTGTGTTAGCGGAAAGATTCTTCCGGATCCGCGAAATACATCATGCAATGTTTATCGATTCAAATAATGCTCAGTGGCATGTCTTTTGCTTGCACTCGACAAAATACAACACTTCCGCCCATGGACGAAGACACTCGTCTGCATTCTATAGGTGCTTTTCTGATTCTAAACAATCCGTTCCTTACTTTTCCTATCCCAAAATCCACACTGCATTTTCCTTAATGGCTGCTAATCACTTGGTCTTACTGCAGCTTTCATGACTTTTGCATCCGTGGATGGTGCATTGTAGGCAAAAAGGATATGTGCCCCTATTGCAAGGAAAAGGTCAATTTACGAAAGACATTCACCAATCCGTATCCTTTTACGTGTTCGTTATGGATGTCAAACGATGCTCGTATATATTATTGCTTGTCAAGTTCGCGTGCTTGTTGTCATTCTGTTTGTGCTCAGTGCTTGGAACTACTCTGACGACCTAGAACATTGGACTCGTTCATATTATGTTAGCCACCGATCACTTCTAGCAGCGCATGTGCGTCTGGCCGTTTTACGACTGATTTGGCTGTGCTCATCTTACCGTCAGGCTGTTTGGTTCGTTCGACCCCTGTTCTCTTATCTACGTGAATTACTTGCAAGGCACTATCAGACCTGAAAAATCCACTAATTGCAAGTGGATCAGCGGCAGTGAATGCCTTCAATTGCTAACTTATCGTGGTCGATTTTCGCATGGTATGATCCCTGCTCCATTTAATGTTGGGATCTCCGAGAATAAGCCGGCTCCATGAAATTCGGTCATAATTACCGATGCCCGATAATTGACAGCGATACTCATACATAGTTTAGCTCGGGTTGACACGGAGCTTATTGGGAATGTTTAATTGGATTCGAAAACAGGCTAAAACTTCTCCATAATCCAAAGTTCATATTTTCTGGTATTAGACACCTGTATTTCCCTTATTCCGACAGGGCTGTATTTACTGTGTGCGATAAGCCTGAAGTAATCCACACGTTTCAAAACTCTCTTTTTTTAATGGTGATTGGGAAACTTCAGCCAAAGGCTACGTCTATTGGTGTTCCGTTCGTGGTTTTGATCGTGAAACATCTCCGTGAGTTGCGGATATCCATCATACAAAATAAGCTCTGATGTACTTATGTGCATGTGTAGAAGTCCTACAATGTCAGTTTGATGAGTTCAATGATTCCTGCAACCAGTTGCTGGATTGTGATATCATTATTCTCTGGTGCACCCTCCTAATCGATCGTACCGATGTTGGTGTTGTTAAACTCGCTGGTTTTATAATGTATATCGGTTGTTGTCACTCTAACTGTGCACACATGAAATGGTACATGAACAGAAGATACATTTCGGCTTAAGTAATCAAGTCACCTATATTCGAATCATCTCGCTTGAACGACAATTTATCCTTTGTAATGCGACTAGATTTGGGACAGATCCATTTTACGCTGTTGTTGGTGAAAGAGGTTACACTCTTCGTATACCCTTTTTCCGGTTTACGATCTCCATGAAGGGACCGCCCGCTGCGTCTCCCACTTTCTCTATTTGGCGGGACCGTTGTATGATTGTGTCGACCACTTTTCAACAAGTGAACTCAGAAACAGATGATGCAATCCTCTCTTAAATCACTCAGGAGTGAACTAATTTCGACTTCCCAGGGATCTAATCAATGAAAACCTAACGTCTATGAAGAGGTGATTTTTATTGGAGGGGCGCGACGCAAACTGAACACAGCCAGTTAGTGTCTCTAAACAAGTCATTTTTCCTCTTCTGTCACGGTTAAGAATACGCATACACTTGTTGTCGTTCGACATGTGATCGGGTTTATGGTACCGGGTTGGGAATAGATATCGTCTCCTATTGTGTCGTAAGGTGTATCCCATCTGACTCTATTGCTACTCATGTCTGTTTACCAACTTAACCCGTCCTGCTCCTTCTCTTTACTCCATCACTTACCTAACTTCGATTCGGAAATGTAGCTGGGACAAGCCGCATATATTTTACGGCAAATTTCTCGATTTAATTCGCTATCTCGTGGCTTGGCAACCTGTGATACTGGGAGTTGTGCATCTGCTCAACATGAGCTTGGGATTGAAGTAAACTATTCTCCAAATTGCGAACTACTTCCGAAGTATGAAACATGTCTACTGACAATAAACAGTTGTTTTTTTCTGCCAATATAATAGTTAATCTCACTGTATGCGCATTTTCTGTTCTTTTTTTTTGGGGGGGGGCGGAAATCCGCGTTTCACCTGCTTCCGAGTGCGGCATTCAAAAAGCCACATGTTGCTTAACAAACACTCCAGTGTCACCCATATTGGACGAGTTGTGTTAATCCAACAGAACAAATAGAATTAACGGGAAGTCGTCATTATATCAGATTAACAAAAAAAATTAGGCCTTAGAGTTAAATTTGACGGCTAATTAAAAATTTGGGGATCGTTTGAAGCAGATTATATATCTCTCGAAAAAGTTTGGTGGCAATCGGTAGATTTATTGCTGGGCAACGTTTTCCTTTTGACACAAAAGCTTCGTCAGACCAAGTGACTAGGTTCCGAGGTTGGTCGAGATTTGAGGCGGAATGAGAACCATTCAATCAACCAAGTCAAGCTAAATCTCTGTTGGGTGTCGGCCGAAGGATTTTTGCATGTGAAGGTGGTTGAACAAGTGTTGGGTCAATAGGTAAACCTACATATTTGGGTCTAGCCTAGGGTCTAGTTCTTCTGGTTCGGTTCATTTGATGGTCCCTCCTAAATGTTGTTTGAACCTTCTGTCCGTCTGTGTGGATGAGCTAGTGCTAAGATAGTTGTGTCAGAGGAGTGCTGTGACCTTTGGTCGGGTTGGGATTTCCAGCCCCACCCCTCGGTTTTTGCTAATGATTCTACAGGGATTGACAACCACAGTCACGTGTCAACTCGGCCTATCTAAGACCGCTTTCCGTACGCTCGCCAGTTCCACACTTTCGATTCTACTCATGCTGTGGTGTGAATCGCAGTCTCCGTCTTAAGACTTCCACATTCTCCAGATCTCTTCTATGTCCCGTGCCCAAGGCATGTACCACTGTAGCTGTCTGACCAGCGTTTGGTATTGTGCATTCCTTTGTGTTTTTTATCCTTCTTTTATGCTCACCAATTCTGGTGTGCAATTCCCTGGCAGTTTGTCCTATATAAACCTTAGCACAATCGTTGTAATTAATTTTGTACACATAGTCCCTAGGCCTTTCAGCCGGCAGGGGATCTTTCAATTGCACCAAAACTGAGCGTAGTGTTTTTCCCTTCTGAAAAGCTAGTAGAATGTTGACTAAGTTCAACAGTCTTCGAATAACCTGCGATGTTCCTGCTTTACATGGAATGATTGCTGTGCCAATCCATTCCTCACTGGATCTAGATACTGGAGCCAATACCTTTCCGAGCTGACACTTAATCAAACTCACTGGGTATCCTTTTCGAAAACGTTTGGTGACAATCGGTAGATTTATTGCTGGGCAACGTTTCGCTTTTGACACAAAAGCTTCGTCAGGCGAAGTGACTAGTTGGGTCCAGTCTGGTTCTTCTGGTTCGGTTCATTTGATGGTTCCTCTTGAACGTCGTTTGAACCTTCTGTCAGTCTGTGTGAGTGAGCTAGTGCTAAGAAAGTTGTGTAAGAGAGATGCTGTGACCTTTGGTCGGTTGGGGTTTCAACCCCCATCCTTCCGGTTTTTTCTAATGATCCTAAGTGGATTGACGACCACACCGTAGCTGAAGGAAGTTTTTGAAACACTGACTCTACACTAGGAATTATTTCTTCCGCTCTTATTACTTTTTTGCTCACAGCGAAGTTTAGTCCCTTTTCTAACGGACAGCGTTCGTCTTCACTCAGTGGTCTATCTGACAAGTTAACTACACTACAGTAATTGGTGGATGGTTTCTTCGTTTCTGTGACCTTTCTGGGGCCCTGAGTCATGGAAAGCAGTTGTTCGAACTTACGGATCTGCCTATCCTCGCATTGCCGGCCCTGTGCAAGCTTCACTTCTGTGGCTTTGGTGTTGAGCATCTAGAGGTCGGTGGTTGAGATTGTGATCTGAAGAGTTTGACTGAGTTGACTCGTGGCGGCGTACATCGGTTAAACGCTGGGTGGTTAGGTAGATCCTCTGCTTGAGGAATGACTTGGCCGCTGACAAAGCAATTTTAGCAGAAGCAGCTGAAGTATCCGGCGGCTTCACAATCAGGGAGTTGGGAATTTGTCTTGCACCCATACAACAACACAGTCCTTACTGTAGCCTGGTACACACGACCCTCAAGATCCAGTGAGATGCCTTTTTGACGCCACAAGTGACGCAAATTCGAACCCTTGAAATTCTTCCACTGAATTTATCAGACAAAACTACCAAGGTATGTAAAGTTTTCCACAATCTTCGGTGATTTTCCTTGAATTGTTCGCAGATGGCACGTTCCGAAGCATGGCATTGCATTTTGAAGGTGCAAAGCGCATGCCAAATGACGGTATGATGGTGGTCAGTCTATTCAACAGGGCTTGTACCGCGCTTTGGTCTTCAGAGATGAGGGCAATGTCATCTGCGTACTTCAAATCAACAAGGTTCTCACCAGCAACAATTTGAACACCGGGATTTCGAAGACCGTTTAGTGATCGCCTTATTATTTTATCAGTGACGAAGTTGAATAAGAATGCGGAAAGTGGACAACCTTGTGTGGCACCACTTTTTGTAAGGAAGCTTTCGGAGAGCTCACCATACACTGTCACCCGCCCGGAAGTGTGCGAATATGGGGATCAGATTATTTTCGAAAAAGTTTGGTGACAATCGGTAGATTTATTGCTGGGCAACGTTTTGCTTTTGACACAAAAGCTTCGTCAGGGCAAGTGACTAGGTTCCGAGGATGATCGAGATCTAAGGCGGAAGGAGAACCAATCAGCTGAGTCAAGCTAAATCTCTGTTGGGTGTCGGCCGAGGGATTTTAGTGTGTTAGCGTGGTTGAACAAGTGTTGGGTCGGTGGGGAAACCTACATGCCTTTGGGTCACTGGATATCCTGTTTCTTGAAGTCTTGTACACATGGTCTTAAACACAATGTTTGTTTTGGTTAACGGGGCTTGTTTTCCCTGACCCTTTTGGTAAGTAGATGTTTCTGAGAGCTACGCAGGTCACTACAGCTTATATAATCCCGGACAGCCGAAAGTGCACTGTATGCTATAGGATTTCATGATTACCGATTATTTGAAATGTTGATAGCCAATGTGTTGATTGTTTATTTGTTCGCCGAGTTTAGCACTTGATTCGCAAAAAGTTCACCAATCAGGGTGATATCGGTAACTGTGTACAACGACCGCCACACAGCTGTGCACTGGTGATTCATCTGATTGTCAAGCTCGGAAAATCATATCTGAACTATCTGGTTTTTCCTACTAATTGTGTTATCCTTCCAATTGCAGTTGTTGATTGCCGCGTTGCCTTTGGAGTGTCACAGCTGAACGATTGTTGTCTTTAAGTTGGCTTTCGTGTGAGCTCTTGAAAGATGCCACTGGCATCATCTTGCCTCAAGAAAGCGAATAAGTCATTCATGAGCAGATTGGTGATGTAAAAAAATTCTATCTCTGTTACTAACAAAGGCATTTTTTACAAACTTGCTTGAAATCCGAAGTTCTCCGACGACGTCGCGCCGTTCTACACACCAAGTTGCCATACAAGACCACGAATACACATTTACCAGTCAGAAGGGTTGGAACTTAATCCACAGAAACACGCTAGATCCCGTCATCTTGATTACACGAATTTATTCACCATATAAATGAGTAAGACTTCCATATTAATAAGAATAGAAAAAAGTACAGCCAGCTGAATGAGCACCATGTTACATTCACGTAAGTGCGGTTATTTCATCGATTTTGTCCTAAATGTCAATCCATGCATGAGAATCGTGATAGCAATTTAGCGCACGTGACATGTGCGCCAACCCGAAGAACAATAACGAATCTGGTGTACGTTAATTTTAATGAATTTTCCAATCGCGATGCTAACAATGTTGTACACCCGTCACGAAGAGACTGGAACGTACCATGGTGTGGCGGTTTCTGTACGTCCGCGACACACTGATCTATACTAGGGGCGTCGGTGCGACACTCGCAGTCTTATAATATGCTGGTCAGTGGTTAAAGATCTGACGAACACGGTCCACTAGGTTGTAGGTTGGAACATATACGGCGAATTTCCCTGTGAAAACTGAAACGCACTTGCATATCCCGCCAAACACCGCTGCCTTGCGGTCGGGATTTCGAGCCAAAGACTTTGGACGAGGACCCTAATCGTCCTCTTGTCTAGGTTTGGGTGACCTGGTAGTATCCCAGCCCGTGTACAATCATGAATTGTACACTCACAATTACATCGGTCGCCGCGTGGTGTCATCAGCCGGGTCGCCTTACTTGCTGCATGCAGCAGGGTGGGTAAGCAAAAACAGGCTACTGCTGACGCCTCTCCCCACCCCATTAATAATTCTCTCCTTGTAGGCCCAAAAATTGAGACTTATGACTCCGTTCGTTGAGCATCGGTTTTGCAAGCAACATGTGCGCGCCATCCGGCGCCGACATCCTCAATTATCTTGAAATCAGTTCTCAAGCCTCCATGGCCGGTTTATCTGGCTTCATTCAGTGTCCGCACTCTGAACCTCTTGCTCTCACACTGCAGTTGCTTAGCATTCATTTGTGCTTTGTATCAGAAACAATAATTCAAGACGCAAACTAACCGCCTCGTCACTCTCCACTCACTTCCGGAAGCACATATCTGGCGATTTAGAGGCTGCTGCAAGGGCTGATATTGTCCCAAAAGTCACTGGGCGGAAGGATCCTTACTTGACTGGATACCCGTTCATAGTGGTCTCTGTGCGATGCGTCTCGCAACGTCTGTGAAGTAGTCCCAAGTTGGAAGTCGTTCGACGTATGTTTGTCATGTCTGCATACCCCCTTGATTGTAACTCTAACAAAGGCAACTTTTATGACGCCCTGAATGCCCTGTTGCGGTGAGCAAAAACCTCAGAAATCGTCGGAAAACTGAATGCACTAATGGGCGCGCTTAGGGTACCTGAGACTCAAGTGGTCGACATGGACTCGAGTCGATACGTACGGACAGTGGTGAATGGTTGTTTCAGCTGTGTGCTGACTGTAGACTACTTTTGTGCACTACTAACTTCCGAAATAGCCGAAAGCGTCT